CTGGCTGCTCTTGCAGGTGACCGGGGGACCCAGGTTTCAGTTCCCAGCATCTACATAGAGGCTCACAATCATCCCCAACTCCAGTTCCAGGGGACCCAGTGCCCTCTTCTGAACATGCCAGCAAGTGGTACACATACATGTATGTAGGCAAAATACTCATACACGTAACATAAAAAGTATATTAGCAAAAAACAAGTCCACGGTCATCCTGGGTTCCATGGTGAGAAACTGTCTCCAAAAAAAAAAAAAAAGTAGTCAATACTACTAGATAAAATGGATGTGGTTTATTAGTTTCTTATTATCTAATAGATCGACATGAAAGATGTAAATTGTCTACCTGTGTTGCTGAAAAGCTTGCTCACAAAAAACTAGCTCTTTTATTTGCCGATAACATGTTTCCACACAAACGGAGTCAAGGGCAAGGCACAGTCTGGAAGCTACTGTTCTGTCCTGTGGCATGAGGAGGAGCAGAGCACAGCGATCTCCACACTGAGTCTCTTTCTATCTGATCCACATGGCTTTACAATCTCATGTCTGACTTCCTCAGTACTGCGTAACAAGTCACGAACAGACACCCTTGTCTTATTCTGCATCTTTAGGAGAAAGCATTAAGTATTTTGTTATTAAACATGGAGTCTTCTGTTTGTTTATTTTTCAGAGGCTCTTTATTAGGGTGAGGGCTTACCCTTTGCCCTTACATTCCTACTTTGTTGAGTGTTCTTGTACATATGGGGCATGTGTATGGAGTCTGGAGGCTGTCTGATGTCTTCTTTTATCCCTCCCCCCCTTACAGGGGCTCATTGAATAGGCTAGGCTGACTAACCAGAAAGCCCCAGGGATCTGCCTGTCTCTGCCTCCCAGCAGTTGCCTCTGTGACAACTTTTCTTTTTCTCTACGTAGCAATTTTGTTTATTTCAACTTTTATAATCCTGATGATAGTCTCTCGTATGAAGCTTTTCATACTTTGCATGATGCCTGATGTGGTTAGTGACGAAGGTTGAGATGAAGTCTTCATCACTTGTAGCCTAAAAGCAACAGGGATTTTCTTTCCTGTGTGGGCAGCTATGAAGTTGTTAGGGAGTAACTGCTCATTTAAAAGAAACTTGTCCTTTTTTCCTTGATCAGCTAATATGTCAACCTGGAAACCCAAATAGGACTTCATGAGACGGGCCTCATCAGATGCTTTTTTGCCCCAAGGACACAGCACTGGGTTGCAAACTGGAGGAAATGCTGACACAGAGTTGTGTTTTCCAGGATATTTTGTGGCCTCCCATGGAGTGACCAAAATAGACCTCCTCTGCCGGACAACTGGGAAACTGGGAAATTGGCTTCTGTGGGTTGTAGAAGCGCCTCTGTAACATAACATAACATAACATAACATAACATTCCGCAATGAGTTTTCCAGGGCTCTTCAGTGGCCATCATGTAAAACTCAGCGTCAGTGCCAAAGTCCCAGCTGTCATCTTCTCCTTTCACTTTGCAGCCATGGGGGCTGGTATCCAGAGCAATGACGGCAAGGCGGTGTTCTGAGGCAGCATGCTGATAGCCAGACTTCGGCATGAAAGTTTGTTCTGTGCAAGCTAAACCAGACAGCCAGAGGAGTGTAAGACACTTTCCACTCTCTGCCTGTGGTGGTAGGCAGACAGCAAACATCCCTTTACATTTCAGCTCAGCGCTGTCACGTTCTTTCTGGACCCTTCCAAAGCACGTGTTGCTGGACATCTGTTTCAATACCATTCTTCTCCTGTCCAATTTCTACTTTATTTTCTGTGTTAAATGCCAGTGGATCTCTGAGGGGCAGCTCCCTGTGTCCAGCTTTTTACATGGGTGCTGGAGATCTGAATTCAAGCTCACTCAGCAGTCACATGACTGTGACTTCTTTCTACAAGCAGACTCTCACTAAGCTTGAAAAGGACTCTGAGATCCCCCAAGTCTAAGCTTTTGCCTTTGTCTCGGGACCCTCAGCTGGGCAAGGGATGCTGTGTGTGCCTCACTAGATTGCTTTACACTAGCACGTGTCCCCTAAACGCAGCCTCGAGTGCATCCCTGATGACTCTTCCTCCTGGGCTCACAAGTGTCTGCTCAGTCTTGGCTTCGCAGCCACACTTTTACCTGGCACCTCTGCTCACACTTCTCCCTTGTGACCTCTCCCTCTCCCCCTCCTTCTTTGTCTGAAGAACATAACTGTTACCCCTCTTTACCTAGATACAATCTCTCCGCATGTCTCCCTCTTTCCCGCTGTCCCTCCGTTCCCTTCTTCCCTTCCTTCCTTTAAGACTGAGTTTTGCTATGTAGCCCTGGGTAATCTGAAACTGGCTGTGTAGATGAGGCTGGCCTTGAACCCACAGAGGTCTACCTGTTTCTGTCTCCTGAGTGCTGGAATTAAAGGCGCGGGCTACCATGCCTGTACAAGTTTCTTTTTTAAAGAATATTTTTGGTAATACACACATACAATGGATCTTTATTACACTCATTCCAACTCCATTTCCTTTGGACACTCCCAACACCAGCCCCTCCTATCTTGGGTCTCCTCTTCTCCTCACACTAACTTCACTAATACCGCCTGCACACTCATGAGCAACTCACCAGGAGCCACATCTCTAAGGAAAAATAACTCCCTCTTATAGGCATGGGAATCAAGACAGCTCCTCTGTTAGGGGTGGGCCTCGCCGCCATCCACGCTGGAATTATTGACTGGCTTGATGTCGTGCAGGGAATGCAGGTGCGGGCTCGTGAGTACAAAAGCTACACCAACACTTCCCAGCACTCCTCCCATCTCTGTTCTTGCCTGCTTTCTGCTCCCGACTCCTTTATATTTCCCGGGACTTGTGAGGATTGAGACAGACATCTTGAAACCGGGCGTTGGTGGCGCACGCCTTTAATCTCAGCACTCGGGTTGGCAGAGGCAGGCGGATCTCTGTGAGTTTGAGGCCAGCCTGGTCTACAGAGCAAATTCCAGGAAAACCTCCAAAGCAATACAGAGAAATCCTGTCTCGAAAAACTGAGACAGACAGACAGACACACACACACACACACACATACACACACACACACACAGAGAGAGAGAGAGAGAGAGAGAGAGAGAGAGAGAGAGAGAGACTGACTTCAGTTAGGAGTTTCTGCATTGACTGGTTCCCAGTAGTACTGATCTAAGGTATAAACAAATATATTTAGAAGGCAGTTTGACAGCATGCTCATTTAGTAAAACAACATTAGTAGGTTCCCTAATGGCCTGTCATCTCCTTGACTATGGGCTTTTGGCCAGGCTTACAGAACGAGGCCTGAATTCCTGCCTAAGGGACAGTCCTCGAATCTATTCAGAAGTCGGCTGTTTATCCCATAGATGTCCTGCCACCACTATGTCTCCAGGCAGGTTGGTATTAAGCATGCAGGCTCTACTGCTGGGTACATCCATGGGTGATATTCCTCTTCCTGCAGCCTGCAGAGTACTTTTTGGCATTATGAGAGCTAACCAGCAGAAAGGAAATTCCAGATCCAGCTCAATTTCTTTATGTCTGACAACCAAAGTGTGCTATGTCGTTGACAACCAAAGTGTGCTATGTCGTTGGCAATAGGGTCCACCACAACCATCTGATGGTTGTGGTGGAGACAGCACTTGAGAATTTCTTGTATAAGAAGTTTAGGGACAACCAAAATCCACCCCTTGTACCTCAGGAAAAAAGTCTTCCTGGGCTGGGGATGTAGCCCAATTGGAAGAGTGCATGAAGCCCTGGGTTTGATCCCTAGCGCTGTAAAAACAGGAAATGACGTTTACAGGTACACACCTGTAATCCTAGCACCTGGGAGGGGAAGGCAAGGTGAGAGATTCAAAATCATTCTAGATTCATTCAAAGTCATTCTGGGCTATACAGTGAATCAAGGTTAGCATGAGTGCTCTCTCCCTCTGTGTGTGTGTGTGTGTGTGTGTGTGTGTGTGTGTGTGTGTGTGTGTGTGTGTGAAGGGGGAGGGGAGGGAGGGGGGAGGGAGGGAGGAGATTTTCTTCCTCCTTGTGAGGCAGCTAATGAGGACCTTGGCATCATCCAGATACACATCCCAGATATAATCCAAGCTAGGAAACTAGAGTTTGGCCTCCCTCTTTTTTAAGCCAACATTTCTCAAATGGCTCACTGTGGTTACACATATCTACCACCCTAATAGCCCGTTGCGTGCATGAGGAAGTCAGATATTCAGTATGTTCATGGACTGATGAAATTCCTTCCCGGTTATAGCCTGACCAGGCTCTATTGTTGTACCTGACATGGGACCCTGCTGATCATATCAGGACACTTGCCTAGGAAATAATAGAGGAGGACCTGTTGAACCCCATGATTTACTATCTAGAGGGACCAAAAAAGGCTGTTCTCAAGCTATTACTATAGCAGATGTGGGTAGGCAACACAGGGTGCTTCAGTTAATCCATGCACAAGTGTCAAATCTGGACCCCAAGTCAGGGAGGCCAAAACACCTTGACTGTACACCTAGAAGTCAGTCCTCTTCTCATATTAGACCATGAGCACTAGTGTCTTCCCATACTGACTCCAAAACTTACCAGACACCCTTGCCAAACTCTAAACCATGCCATCTACTGCCATATCCCACCCAAGAGCCCCGTGACTTCTGCGCAGAAGCAAATGACCTCAGCTGCAGTCCTAGGGTAGCTCTGTGAGATCCCTGACTTGCCCTGCCTGAGGTCACCTGGCTCACACACCATGGTTTTATGGCGGTAAGTCATAGGCTTTTGGTGTGTACAGTAGTTTCAGAGAGGCCGGAGTTTGGCCCGTTTCACATTGAAACTTGGTACTTGAACAAACCAAATCTGTGTTCCTAGCCATGATCACTCATGTTTGCCTCTACTGTAAACTGTCTTATTTCCTTGTTTTACATTGGTACTAGCCAGCTCCTGCTTTAGTCCTTTTCCCAGTAAATTTGTGGATTAGTTCAAACTCAGAAACTGTGAGGTAAAGGATTTTATTTGGGGGCTTTAGAAAATGTATTTTGAGTGTTTGCTTTGGCAGCACACACACTAAAATTGGAACAATACAGAGATTAGCATAGCCCCTATGCAAGAATGACACACAAATTCATAAAGTGTTCCATCTTTTTTAAATTGTATCTATTTGAGAGCCAGGCATGAAGGCAAATGCCTATAAATCAAGTACTTAGGAGCGGAGGCAGGAGGACCAAGAGTTCAAGGTCATCCTTAGCCACAGCTGTGAGTTTCAGGACCCCTCCCTGCTTCAGGGAGCTGTTACTACTCAGAACCTTGTTTGCTTGTTCTTAAAAAATAGCACACACGTGCACACACACACAACACATGTGCACACACGTACACATACATGTACACACACGTACTCACATGTGCAATCAGACATGCACACACAGGCTGCATATAGAGTTCAGTAGGTGAGTGCTTGAAGCTGTGGCTTGGACACCAGCATAAAGCAAATCACCAAATCCAGAAATGTGTTTCAGAGAACACAGGTGCTGTTAGTTAAAAGCCAGGGTCCTGAGGAAGGAAGAGGAGGTGGAGGTTATATCGAGTGAGCTGTGTTGAGTCTTTACAAGGGAGTGAGAATCCGTGGGGCTGGAGACCAGCTGAGAGGTGCAGAGTACTTGCTGCTCTTGCTGAGGACCTTGTTTTGGCTCTTAGTATCCACATCTGGGTGACTCACAGTCATCTGTTACTCTAGTTCCAGGGCATCTGACATCCTCTTCTGATCTCCTCGGGCACTCCCATGCATGTAGTATGCATGGGTAGAGATGAATTAAAATAAATAAATTCTTATGCAGAGGAACTTCTGCTGGAGTTGAAAACAGGTGCAGGTGTAACTGATAGAAGAAAAAGAATATATATATATTTGTAAATGTATGTATATTTGCAAAATGTTCATAAAAAGTTAATGGTCATCTGTTTACCTACCTATGTGTTTGCATGTGTATGAGTATGTTTTGCATATGTGTGTATGCATGTATCTATCATCTGTCTATTTCCACCTAAGGTCTCTGAGAGCATGCCGTCATTCAAGGTTACTCTAGATGCTCATGTAGGGTGATTAAGGTTCACATTCTCCAGCAGCAGATAAATGATGAGGGAGACTCCCCATGTTGCCTTCAAAGGCTATTCTAGAAAAAGTTTCCAATGTTGTTCTTACCCTAATTCCCCTTTTATCTTCACGTATTTCTGGGCCTCCTCCCACACATCCTTCACCATCATTTCCACTGTGCTTAGAGCGCCACCAAGCTTGGACCTTTCTACAAACGGTCATCTTATTTAGTAGACATAGGGACTTTGTGTATTGACTTCTCCCCCTTCCCTCAAGCTTCCCATCCTATAACCTTGGCAAGGGTCACCCTAACTGTAGCATTCTCAGGAGTGCTGAGTGGGACAGAAAGAGAGGAAACAGGGTGGAAAGTGGGTACAGGAGTCTGCCGCCAAGCTTGATGACCTGAGTTCCGTCCCTGGGACCCACACAGGGGAAGGGAGGAACTGACTGAAGCTGTCCTCTGTCCTCCATAAAATACGTGAATTCAAAGGTAACGAAACACCTCTAAGACAAGAAAACTTATGGGGACACGGACAGGACAGAAGCCCTTTACTCTGGAATCTGGGATCCAGAGGCTTCAAGACAAACAATAAACACAACTGTCTATAGGGACAGTGCTTCAGAGCAGGGGCGGTGCAGATTTTGAGGCACAAAGCTTGTAGCCGCAAGTCTAACTGTATGAATGCTCTCTTCTCATCCCTAAATCTGAACAAAGCATTTCCTTACAGTTCCATTTACAAAAGTAAGTCCTTGAAGATAATCGAGAGCTGGTCATGGCAGGCCGACCTCTGTGAGTTTGAGGTCAGTCTGCTCTCCACATTGAGTTCTAGGTCAGTCAGTGCTGCATAGTGAGGACATGCCCAACACCCCCACCTCAACCTCAAATAAAACCTCAAAGCAAGGCCTGAAGCATGGCTCAGTGGTTAAGAATGAGTACTGGTCTTTCAGGAGACCAGAGTTCAATTTTAAGCACTCGGAGCTGGCTGTAACTCTAGCTCCAGGGAGCTGCCTCTTCTCTGGCTTTTACAGATACATGCATGTGTGCTTGTGTGTATGCAGGCATGTGTCCATGTGTGATGTGTGTATGTGTAGCAAGCTAGTTTCCGTATTCATTTATTAAAAACACATATTTTTAAAATACAGGTTCTCGCTGTATGTTCTGGCTTGCGTGGAATTTGCTATATAGACCAGACTGGTCTTCAACTCACAATCTACCTGCCTCTGCTATCTGAGTGCTGGGCTTAAAGGCACGAATCACCATACCTGACCAGATTCTATATTTTTACTTAAGTTTTAAATTTTGCTTAAAACTTAAGCTTCCCTGAATCATTAAATCTTGTGAAATTAGATCCTTGGAAAAACAGAACTTAGCTGCGGCATCATATACACAGCCATTCTGAAGACATCTAATTGCAGCTCTCCCTGCAGAAAAACCCTCTCATCTTAGGTGTGTGGTGTTCTTTTACTATGAGTCACTCTCTCTAAACATCCTGCCTAAGTGTGGATCGTGCCCTCTCCTTATGCCTACTTAATAAACTCGTTCTCTTTGCTTTAGTCTTATCTGTTTTGAAATTCTTTTCTGCTGCGTAGGCAGGGATCTGGCTTTACTTTAGTGGAGGTCCTTGAGCAGAAAACACCTCAGGCTTCCTGCAGCAATACTGGACTGGGCCGCCCCATTTCTGCTGACAGTGTCGCATCATGTAGAGCCTCGGTCATTCTATTCCTGGAGTCCCACAAGCTAGATGTGGCCAGTCATCCCCAAAATCAAATGAAAAAAGTAGTGGTGAGCTGTAGGCAAGCAGATGAGCTGAGCTCCACCAGGAAGACAAGAGGGACGGAGAGCTCAGCCCTGTCTTCAAGGGTACTGATATGAGCTATGAGCTCTAAGGCAGTGGAGGGGAGGGGACAGGAAGAGTTTGTGACCAAGCCACCATGCTCAAACTGGCCTGGCTGATGATCATGAGTCAGCTCTGTTTATCCTGATGTTGCAGGGGCAGTCGCAGCGAGGCAGGGGAGGTGCTGCTTTGAAGAGGGATGTCTTCAGAGCCTCTTCGCTTTGCATATGTCTCCTGAGTCTGTAATTTAAGACACATGCCACCATGACCAGGCTACTTTCTCCTGAAAGAAAAATACTATGGGGCTGGAAAAATGGCTCAGAGCTCAAGAGTGCTTACTGCTTCCAGAGGACACAGTTGGGTTCCCAGCACCCCTGTCAGGCTGCTCACTCCAGGGGACCTGATACCGTCTTCTGATACACACACACACACACACACACACACACACACACACACACACACGCACGCACGCACGCACGCACGCACGCACACAAGCGCACACACACACAAATAAATAAACCATCAACCCTTTTTAAAGTATTACATTTATTCACTCGCGTATTTGTACCAAACACACATATGGAGTCAGAGTTGGTTTCCCCCTTCCACTGTGTGGGCTCTGGAGGGTGACCTCATATGGTCAGGCTTGGTAGTGAGTATCTCTACCCTCAGATGCATCTCAGCAGCCCACTTTCTTTCTTTTATTCAACCCAGGACCCAGCCATTGGATGATGTTGCCCACACTTAATGTGGGTCATTCAACTTCAAATAACCCAGTGTAGAAACTCCATCACACACATGCCCAGAGAGCATATCCAGGTGATGCTAGACCCTGCTAAGTTGGGAGTCAATATTAAGCATCACTCGGTGAAGCAGGGCTTCCTTTCCATCATGGGGTCATTGTCTTCACTTATGGGAACAGCTTTATCATGGGGTGATCTGTCTGCATGGCCTCACTATTCCTGCACAGTTTTGTAACTGAAGATTTCCTGCCCGTTGTTTTCCAGTCTGAACCAGGCAAGGCTGGCAGCTGGAAATCTGTTAGAGATGCCTTAGCTACTCTTACCTTGTGGTCTTCAGCCTCGAATGGGGAGAATTATTAGCTTTGCCCGAACAGTCCTGGGCCTGGAGAGATGGCTCAATGGTTAAGAGCACTGGCTGCTCTTCCAGAGGACCCAGGTTCAATTCTCAGCACCCACATGACAGCTCACAATCTTTAAATGATCGACATCCTTGGGCATGGAGCTGAGCAGAAATCTGACCCAAGGTTAAAGGCACCAGACAGACACAAAACGAAGGCAGAGGAGTTTTCTTGCTTTTGCTTGCCGTTGGGCATCAGCTGTCTTTTTAGCAAACATGGATTCTAAGTCCCTGTTTGAATACCAGCTGAGGGTAGAGGGCATTTCTTGTCTGTTGTAACCTGGAATTTAGCTTCAGTCTAAGTTTGATGAGGGGTTTGATGAGGGATGTTGTCTTTCCAGGGAAATTCTCTTAACCACTGAGCCATCTCCCCAGCCCAGAATTTTTATTTATATATTTATTTTTAAAGACAGGGCCTCCTCAAGTGGTGGTGGTGCATGCCTTTCCTCCCAGAACTCGGGAGGTTGAGGAAAGAGGATCTCTGTGAGTTCGAGGCCAGCCTGGTCTACAGAGTGAGTTCCGGGACAGCCAGGACTACACAGAGAAACCCTGTCTTAAAAAAATAAAAGCCAAACCAAACCAACCAACCAAACAAAAAGCAGGGTCTCATAGAGCTCAGCTTGACCTTGAGCTCACAATAGTTAAGTCTGGCCCTGATTCCTGATTCTCCCATTTCTGCCCCTCAAGTGTTGGGATCACAGGCATAAGTTCTTGACTGGCCTTGAACTTTTGGTTCTGCCTCAGCCTGCCAAGTAGCTGGAATCCGGGCCTGTGCCACCAGGCCTGGCAACACTAGTTTTTAAAATAACTCCCAGGCAATCTGATCTCTGCACCTCCATGAAATGTGTCTCTATAGAGAAGAGACACTTGAGGAAAACAAGCTGGGCGCTCATCCTAGAGGAACTGCAGGACCAGAACGTTCCACACACAGCTGGTTAGAAAAGAACCTGACAGTGCCGATGGTTTTCTCCATCCCTTGGTGCTACGGCTGGGCCCCCCCACAACACCCACAGCCCAGCTCTGAGGACAGGTGTGACAAGAACAGGCGGCTACCAGGCTCAACTTGCTGCAGCTGCTTGGAATT